GTTTTCGGAAATTCTCATTTAAAATTCGCGCGCTGTATATTTTTCGATATTTTAAGTTTATAGTAGTTTGCCACTGTCCTTACATTACATGCCAAAAATGAGCGCGATCTGTCAACAGTTCGTTTACGGCAGCTGTTGAAACCAGTTCACCTCAGTAGTGCGTTGCGAAAAAAACAATGGAAAAAAATATTGAACAAAGAGTTTGCATCAAATTTTGTTTTTCGAACGAAATTTCGTGTGCAGAATCGTTGCGAATGCTACAAAAGGCTTATGGGGAATCAGTTTTATCGAAAACTCAAGTTTATGAGTGGTACAAAGCCTTTCAGGACTGTCGTACGACCGTCGAAGACATGCCGCGTTCTGGACGACCTTCGACCTCTACCACCGACGAAAACATTGAAAAGGCAAAGGAAATCGTGTTCAAAAATCCTCATGTGAGTGTTAGAGAGATAGCACGAGAGCTAGGCATCGGTCGTGAGATGGCTCGTTTGATTTTGGTGGACAATTTGTGTATGCGACGTGTCAACGCCCGGCTTGTTCCGATTCACCTCAATTTGTTCAACATTATCAACGATTTTAAGGCCAAACATTCAATAAATACCATCGAACAGCCACCGTATTCACCTGATCTTGCACCGTGTGACTTTTTCCTGTTTCCCAACCTCAAATTACCACTCAGAGGAACGCGTTTTGAATCCATAGAAGACGTAAAACAGAATTCGCAGAGGGAACTCAAAGCCATACCGGAAAGCGCCTATAAAAAATGTTTTGATGATTGGAAGAAACGTTGGCATTTGTGTATCGCTTCTAATGGAGCATATTTTGAAGGAGATAAAATAAATATTGATGAAGATTAAGAATTTTGCGTTTTATTTAAAACGCAAAGGAAACTTTTCGGTCACAATGTATTGCAACAAACATGGATTGTGCTGGTGTTGCCATGCTTAAAAGGAAGTAGAATATATCTAACAGTTTTCATGTCACACTGGTTTCGCTACCCAGCATAGGAGTATTTAACCAAAATTCCTACAGTCAACTACCGTGTCTCAATATTTCTCCATGGTATAACAACAAGGGTTCTTCTTATGGCTTAAGTGAGTCTGTCTACCCTAAGATGTTCTTGCATTAGCCTGTATTTATTTATTTAAATTATTCTAAAATCTTTATCTATATACCAAGGGTTGTAGTAAATGATCATTCAGAAAAAATAGAAAAGAAAGAATAGAAATAGATTAAATATATAGAAAATGTGTATAAGAAATAGATTTCTAAGCATAACTTGACCTTTTAAATAAGTTAAATAAAATCCAGTATTTAAAAAAACTTGACATGCAATGCAGTGCTTTAAATTGTTGCTCTTCTGTTTTTCTGCAATAGTGGGGAAGGCTATGCTATATGTTGCAACAAAACATATTAACAAATGCAATCGAATCCTATGAGTCTGGAATGCAATATAAGAATTTTTGAATTTTCCAAGCTGAAGATAGGATTAAACTGCAATAATTCAGCAACAGCAACAGTAACAGCAACAACAACAATAGCAACAACACAACCGAGCCAGTCGATACTAAAAAATGTTCATTAACATGCTGCTGGCAGGAGTTTTGTACGCTGCCATTAGCTTAACTACAGGAGGGCACATAATCCGCGAGCTATACCGGCGTTCAACTCATGCAATTTCTTAACTGCCTTTAAGTAGGTTTTTATCTTTTTTCCACTGTCTTATGCACTTGTTCTGCTTGTTATTGTTATTATTATTTATATAACTCTTTTTGCAGGTTTTTAAAACTGTTTTTTCTTTATTTTATTTTTGAAATTTTTTAGCGCTTACCTGTCCAACCCGTTGGGCATTCACATGTAAAATCACCATCGCCATCAAGACAAATTCCACCATTTCGACACGGATTTGGTGAACATTCGTTTAAATCTGTTAGTGAAGAATAATTTGCAAAAAATTCAGATGAGAAAAGTACTTGCAGATAATAATGAAAAAGTTTATATTAGAACATTTTGTCAATTAGCAAGGCTTAACGCTCGATTGTCGAGACGCTAATCGCTTGTTTGTAAGCAACTTAAATTGTCTAAAATGTTTCTGTCTAAATTGTTGTTAGCGCTGCAAGAGGCTTGTAAGTAAAAATGCATCGTACCTTAAAACTTTCCAGAAAAAAGGTTTTAATTAACAAAAATTTTTAGGTTTTGTTTTCTTTTCCCAGTTTATTTTTTTTTTTTTTGAATTTTTTTTATGTTCATTATTGACATTTACTGAATACTTGTATTTTTCTAAATTGTTCAGCTATGCTGCCCATCAGCAGCAACTCACTACAAATCTAAGTTCCCAGAAACTAATCGGTATCTTTTGTAGACACAACAAAATTTATATCTACTGCATGTGTTATATATTTATTTGTAGATGACTGTGTTCGTAGACAAATAGTAACATTTGATTTCTATTGATTCATTCAGCTTCATTAGCTTGACTTGAAAATATTCAAAGTTATTTATTTATTTTGATTTCTTCTTTGGCGTGTATGGAGTGGAGTGTATTGTTTGGAACTCTACGTCACCCGTAGAGAAACTATTTTTATATATTTTCTTAACATTTTTCAGCATTATATATACACAATTTATGTTTTTGATTAAATGATTAATTAAATGCTATTAAAAATTATACAAAAATCATACAACTTAAGAAGTTGTGAGTTCACTACCTTATACCTATTTTGTATCTTCCTTGATCACAAAAAATTGAGATTTTACGCTTAATTTATTAATAAAATTTTTTTTATTTTTTACTTACTGTGTTCACAAAAAGTGCCTGTGTGGCCCACATGGCATTTACAAAATGTGCCCACCTCACGTATTTCGCAGTTTCCATGCCCACTGCAGGGCAAAGTATTTGTGGTGGAATTAGCAAAGCAACCTTCTGGAGATATAAATTAAAATTTTTAATTAATATATGAATTAAAATTAATAAAATTAGTTAATATAATTAATAATGTAATATGATTAACAATTAATAATGCTACTTACCGTTGCAAGGAGGCTGTGAACAAAGTGGTCTTATCTGTTCACAGTGTTTACCGGCGCGATCTGAAGGACAATGACAGTAATAACTGCCCGGCGTGTTCAAGCAGCGGCCTTGTAAGCATGGAGATGGAGTGCAGTGATCTTTGGCTTCCTAGAATAAAAATATCAATTTTAAAGATTTGTAATTAATTTTGAGTACAAAAATTTTCATTTCGTGTGGGAAAGATATTTTGACGGCTAAAGTTTATACAAATAAACTGATAACAGTCAGACTATCTGTAAAAATACTTGGAAAAGCTCATTTTCAGCAAGAATAATGTGAGTGAGTTTGTTGAAGTGGATTTACATTGGTTATAGAATTTATGTATCCCCAGGTAAAAGAAGTGACTTTCACCTTCCATACTGCAATAGATTTTAGACCCATTGGTATTTATTCTCCTACTATGCTGCAATTAATTTGTTATTAATTGTTATAAAATAACAATACCAGGTAATCTAAACTACTTCTTTTATAAAGATAGACTAAGTAACAAAATATAAATATAGTAATATAAGTTAGAACTTTAATATAGTTAAGTCCAGGAATATTTCATAGAATAGTCTATCTTTAAATGTACGGAATATAAACTTTATTTTCTAAAATTTTTAATGAAAGTGCTCAGTTCAACAGCTATTTAAAATGTTATGATAATTATCATAAATATAATTAATCTTTATGCCCACAAGAATTCAATTGGATCATTGAAAGGCCAAAGTACCAAAGTATTATTTGTGATAGACAAGGGTAGCAAATTTTTGATTCGTATATTTACACAGACATTACCATTACGCAGTACAACGATATCAGTTTAAAATTAGATTTTTGAATTAAATTTAGAATAAATACACAAGTATGGAAATATAAATTAACATATCTTAACATATCTGGCAAACTGAAGCCAACATAAGCAATATAAAACGGGATTCTCTAAAAAGATACTAGATAAGAAACGAATAGTTGAAACAAATGAATATAATTACTCAGATACTCAGAACCTTATAAGTGTATAAAAAATCATATGTATTTGTTTAAACGAATCATACAAAACTGAATTAAAAATTTTTAAAAATAATTTTAATGAACTTTTTATATAAAGTATATAAATCTAATTATTACGACTGACTGTCAAGTCATTTTGAAAATTAAATATTTCATTAAAGGATATTAAATAGAAAATTATTTTAAATAACAATAACCTTTTTTTTGTTAATTATTTTAAACTATAAATTAAAAAATTTTGAATATCATTTTTATCAATGAAACGTTTTAAAAAATGATACAATCATTTCCTGTGCCTTCTTGGTGTCCACACAGCATTTCAGTTTAGTTTATCTCTAACTCATAATATTTTGTAGTCCAAAATAAATCTTAATTCATTCCTCCTGTGTCAAGTTTCAGTTTTAGCATTACAAAAACAAATAATAACAACAGCAACAATTTATGTATATAACACGTGAGAAAATCTCTAAATTGCCACAAATATTTTTTGCTTTTGTGTGGAGCCTCGTCTTTGGACTTAACATTTTGTATTTTATATTCTCATCACAACTGATTGCTCGTAATGCGATTAGTGTTAAAAGGTATTAAAGCATCGAACTCATGTGACAGATACATATGAACGAACCAGACGCATACTATATTCACCTTTAAAAGGTACATAACATATAACAGATACAGATACAGCAACCAAAAACAACAACAACAACAACAACAACAACAACAACAACAACAACTGCACTGAAAGTGACAAATACCCGCGGCTACTAAACGTTTCTTTCTACAGTTTTTATGTTTGGCATTGAACTTTTTCATTCGATTTAATCTGCCGCAGCGTAGCTACGAGTACGCGTGAAAGAAGTCGAAGAAGTAGATTATGAACTTCTTCCTACCAGTCAATAACTAATTTTTTCTCCCAATCTCGTTTCTGTCCCTAATTTAATTTTGAAGGCAAAAAGCAACACACAAATGTTGTATGGGGCAACCGCGTAAATGAAATATTGAAAAATCTTAGATTTTAGGTTTTTAGGTGAACTGATTGGTCATCATCCTCATAAGTGTCATCGACTTAGGTAGATTATTTTCTTTATTATCATTTTATTGTAGTAATTTTTTTCCAATCAAAACTGAAATATGCTTTTTTACGTCAATCGATTTAATTTAAAAAAAAAACGCATTCTGACTTAGAAAATTATAAAATATTTAATGTTGGCAGCTTTTACCATCCATTTAGTATCTATACACTGAGGTTGTTATTGTATTCTTGTTCTTAATACAAAATTTTCTTTTTATTATAATTTAAAGAACTTCATCAATGCTTTGTTTTCACGAAAGGTGTTGAAAAGTAAAGCGATTGTAGCAATCAAATGATTTAAGAAACGAACTTAACTCTTCAGGGCATGCATTAAGAAAAATCTAAGATTGCGTACCACACGTGGTGAGGTTCTAAAAAAAATTAAATAATGTGTGTTTCTGACATGCATAAAGAAGACAAGTTATTACTGTTATATTATATATAGAATGTTTGTAAAAAAATATGAAAAGTTGCTAATAAAGAAGCAATTATAATAAGAAATATAATAATGGCAATGAAAAAAATATGTAATAAAGTGTAAACCTTATGTTATTATATCAATTCTGAGTTATTGTAAACGAAAATATTTATTTTCAAAATATAACTTATAAAACGATAATCCTTTTAAAGCAAAATCATAGTTAAATGAATAACAATAATGTTTAATATATCTTTTTAATAATAAAAAATTGATAGGCAAAACATTTTAGTAAATAATATTTTTTAAAAATAATTTAATAATTAAAATGATCGAACTTACCTCACATAAGGAACCCAGATAGCCCAACGGACAAATGCACTTGAATTTGCCAATTAAATCTACGCACTCTCCGCCGTTACGACAAGGTGAATTCGCACACTCATCGATGTCAGTTTCACAATCGCGACCTAAAAATAACAAGAAAAAAAACAAAAAATAGAGCTCAGAACTGAAGCAATTTTTAATACACGAAAAAGACTAACTGTTCCAGATTTAAAAGTATTTAAAAAATATTTAAAGATATAATAAAAAATAAAAAAATAAAAAACTCAAAAATACAAAAGATAAAAACGTTCAACTTACCGGTATAACCATTTGTGCATGCGCAATGATAATCGTTCACTAAATCAATGCAAGTAGCACCATTCTTACACTGTCCCACGCAATCATCCAAATTCTTAGCGCATGTTGGACCACCCCAGCCCTCTAAGCAAACGCATGAGAACGAACCAGGTAGATTTATGCATTTGCGTGCATTAATGCAGGGACCCAGTGTAGTTGCTGTAGCTGCGACTGCTGCTGCTAATCCAGTTGCAATTGTCGACTTTGATGCCGATGCTGATGCTGATGATGACAATGACGAAGAAACTGAAGTAGATGTTTTTGTGGATAATGATGATGCAGCAGTTAAGGCAGCTATGAAAGCCAAAGACGATGTTGTTGTGGTTTGTACGGTGGGAATAGCGTACGCAGTCTCGCATTCATTTACATCCATTTGACACACATCACCGGTCCACTCTGGAGGACATTCGCAGCGGAAACCACCGATTAGATCAATGCAAGTGCCACCATGTTCGCAGGGACCGCCAGCACATTCGTCGATATCTACAAGGGATAAACGATATGTGCATTAAAATTAAAACAAATAAACTTCAAGTTACAAAATGAGATTTTTTGTTTTTGATTAAGAAAAAGAGTAGGAAAACTTAATTCATTTGTGTATTTTCTTGCTCCATCAAGACAAGTTGAAGTGGAGCAGCATTCAAGCACTTTTCTTGAATGCAAATGTAAACATGTAGCTTTCAACTTGTAAGTGACATTTTTATCTGTGATTATAAATCAACGACAAGCTTACTAATCGTCAAGGAAATATTTAACTACGTTCATAATTTTCAAACAATTTTATATAATCTTTAAATACAAATTACAAGACTGCAATTTATTTAAAATAACTCTTTAGGAACATATTAAGCTTGATTTATTGAAAAATTCCTTTTTCGGAAAATCCATTCATGTTTGTACTTTCAAGAATTTTGACTTTTGCGGTACCATTTTTGGTAACTTCTTGCGCGAAAGACAGTACTTTATGCCATTAGTGATGAATGTGGTAATTTCTGTCCCAGATCAACAAACCATCGAACAGGTTTTAAATAAACATTCGATGAGAAAAAAACAAATCTTCCAAGCTAACTTACATAAAATATGAAATAAAAAATCTGTAAAAAGCAAATTATGAAGTAAAGCGAATCTTTAAATAATAACGAAAAGAGTATATTTGCAGAAATTATGACCGCATTTTACCGTAGCCATTTAAATTAACAAGTGCTTGGATGCAGAAAATACAGAGCCGCAACATCTCAATGATGCAAAATCCAAATTCTCAAACCTGCAAATCTTCATGTGAATTTTGGATTTGGAAATATAATAAATTAACAAAACTAAATCGCACGAATTGAAAAGGCACTGAGCGAAAGTGAAAGGCGACGAAACAGCGGGATCCACTGCGATTTCAGACTTTCATATTTTAATATTTCTGGGCTTCTTAAACCATATCGCGAAATTTGTAACTGTAACAAGTTTCTATTCCTTCCTCAAAGCACAAATCCAATTGAAAATGCGTGCCTAATTTGTCCAAATTCGTTTCTAATTTGAAGCACATAAGGAAAAACGAAGGCATGGATTGATGAAATTTGATTCACAACAATGACGCCTGTCACTGAGATAAAAGCTGAAATTAATTGAAATGTTTGCACAGTTTTAAAAACCGAAGCTCTTAATAGATTCCAGATTTCTGCTCAAAGAGTGTAAATATTTTCTTATGTGAATTTGTGCTTCATTTGCTGGCCCATTTCAGTACTTTCAAATATTTAATCTTTTTAATTTTTATTTGCTTTTCAATTAAAAATTTGTTTTTTTGGAATAATATTGCACATGAGCATCGTACAAACACGCACCAACTCGCTTCATTTCACCTTTTGTTCATCTTTGTTACTTAAATTTGTAAAGTATCTGATAAATAGGATTTCTGCTTCTCCTCTTCTTCTTTCTTGTTTGGTGGTTTGGTTGTTTGGTTATTTGGATAATAAAATTGAATTTCTTGCACATTTGCAACATTTTAGTTTAAATATTTACTAAAGACTAAAAAGAGAATTGCAGCTTTTAAATTTCCAAAGATGCTGTACACGCAAGTGAAATCCACTTGCAGCATTACTTCCCCAGCTACTGCCTCCGCAGCTTGTCTATTACTAAAAAGTGAACACTTAACACCTTTCTGACAAGAAACTCATTTGTCAAAACAAAAAAAAACACTTAAAACAACCAAAAGATCTCAGATTTGATTTATAAGATTCCTGTGTGAACATCTTCAAAGCGAAAAAATTTACCATTCGGGTTTGTTAAGTGCGCACATAAGAAGCACCTAAAGTGATTCGTTGTCATAATTTTTGTTTTATATACTTTTGTAATTTTTAACTCTCAAGTAACATTACAAACTCAAGTTAATATTGTTTTTGTTTTCATAGTTGAGTTTTTTGTATTTTTAAACTAATTTGAGCGACAAATATCTTTAATCGTCAGCAATAAAAATGTTCACCTTTTCGTTTTTATTCATTGTCAACTTTTAGCTACGCAGAGACAACTTTTGTATGAATTTTATATTGCTGTTACTGTTCAACGGATTTTGTTGCTATACATTGATTTCCATCTAATGGCACTTAGTCATACTCTTAGTCATACTTATTTGATGTTTGCGAAAAATTATGCATAGCTTAATACAGTTTATTTATTTCAGCAGTTATAAGTTTCCTTATATATATTGCTTACAAATCATCGTGAAAAAACGGCAGGGTAAGACTGTTTTTCATGATATGGACTCCACTCACAGAGAGAATTTTTTATATTATATTAATAAATGTTCTAATCATATATCATATCGTATACATTGACCTGGACGCCAGTTATGTTTAAAATGCCAGTACTCACAAGCTATAAGTCATCTTAACGGAACTTCCCCAACGAATTTGTAAGGTTTGTTGTTTAAGTCTTTTGATAAAGGCCGATTAATTTTCATAGTTCTGACATAGTAAGTATATAATAAAAAAAAACGAGTAAGAGAACAAAGAACTTTGAAGTAAATCTAGTATATATTATTTGAAAAAAGTTTTTTCAAATATTTATTTACAAAATGTTCAAAGTGTGTAAGGTATGTAGTGACATCTATGCATTACAAGTATAATAACAGCTACATTACCATTCACCAGACATAAAAATTTGTCAAATACCTATCATCAGTGGTCCTGGAAATAATTCTTATATTTAATTATTCGTAAATAAATTTTTGACACTGAAGGATAGAACTCTCGTATCATGCCAAATTTGAAACTCAGAGTCAGTACACCTTAATCAACTGACCCAAAGTTATATTTATTTATATTATCAGTAATTGGTGGTTACTTAATTGTGAACCATTTTACCCATCACCATTGAATGAAAGGGAGACTGTCACAGGTAGACTAAGTGGTATATGCAGTAAAAATGGAGTGATAGATCCCCCTCCTCCCTTTTAACCAACAAACTCTAAATTTACTTGTAAATTTACGTCCGCTTGAGTCAATTCAATATATATATATACACATACATATATATATACATTAAAATAAGTGAACTATAGGAGCTAAGGTAGGTCCTATAGTATACAAGATAACATCGTCTTTGATTCAAATTTATTCTTTTGGTTTTTTATATTATGTGTACAACTTCCTAAAATAGAAAACTAAGCAATTGCTTTAAACACTGCACAGCAATAGTCAAACTATAGATTGTAATGCACACAACAAAAGTTTTAATAAAAAAATGTTTTCTGGTTCCTAGTGACACTTAAATTTTCTCAGGAACAAACTTAATTGTTTTTGACAACTTTTGAAAGCAAAACAAGTGCCAATTTAGCACAAATGAAATATTTCGTAAATGCGAATTTGTTGCATGCAATTAAAATATTGCATCAAAATTAAATCAAAACTGCATCAAACAACTTTTCAAACTAAATTCTAAATTAAAACGAAATTTTTACATATTTTAAGTGGCAAACAACAAACTAATTTCAATTGCAAATGTTTGACTTGTTCGAAATGCAGTTTTAGTGAAAACGCTATTAACTTCAGATACTTTACAAATATTGCTACAAATGCTACACGGCGTATCTTTCAATCTATCAGCCGCGTAGCAGCCGCGTAGCAGCAATTGCACATGTTGCGTGTTGTTCGCCATTTCGCTTGTCTATTCACTATTCACTATTCACTCCACGATTCACGCAAACCCCGACTCGTACAAATCCGTTTCTACTTAAAACGAATTCGATTCCGCAGTTTGGATTCGGATTTGAAATGCAAAGCACAGAGCAGCGACGAAAAAATTGAATTGAAAATAATTGAAATAAATTAATTGTAAATATTGTAAAACTCACTTATTTCACATGACGGACCAGTCCAACCGGGCGCGCAGGCGCAAGTGTAGTCGGCGTGGTGATGGTGATGCATTTGCTGCTGCAACTGCATTAAGGCTGATGCGGAGGACGGATTGCTGCCTGCAACGTTTGGTATCAATTTCACTGCAGCAAGTGCAGCATTCAGAGTAGCGCTCGTGCCGTTTCGAGGCTGCAGCTCGTTACTCAGAGTTAGTGTTTTTGTCGTGGCCGTGTTAGTTGCAGCAAGTCCTGCTAGACCCAATAGTGAGCTGCGGCGGCTAACCGGTTTACCCATGGCGGAACTCATACCACGCATGGAACGATATGTCGGCAGTGCAGTTATGTTCAGCATCGCCGATTCCTATTCGCAACAGTAAGAAAGTAATTTTTAATTTGAGATATGAATTATGAAACGCTGGAGAGAATTCGAGTATTAGGATCGAGTGGTATGCATTGCATTAAGCATAAAACTCATATTAAAGGCTAATAAAGATTTATGCAAGTGCGAGAATGGAATGTAAGTTAACGTGTGTAAATTGTTGTTTATGATTATTAAAAGCACCGTAAAAGATAATTTAATAATTTATTTATAGGCTTAATTGACTTGCAGCAAATCACGGATGCAGTCAAGGATACTGCATACATTCATTTCGCTACCTCAAAGATATTTTGATCTTAAAATTCTGATTTTTCTGATTTTTTCTTTATATTCGTTTTCGGTTTACTCACTTTTAATGTGCAAGTGCCACCATTTTTGCATGGTTGCGTTGCGCATGGATGCTCCACAATTTGGCAACGTTCGCCCGAGAGCCCCTCTGCGCAAGTGCAACGATATTGATCAGGTGCAGTGTTCTCACAGGTACCGCCATGCATGCAGGGTTCATGAGTGCCACAGTAATTTAAATCTGCAAAACGAAAAATGATCGATAAAATTGAAAAAATAAAGAAAAACAATTGAAAATTGCACAATGTGGAAATTGTTAAGTGCTCAGCAACAATAACAAATAATACAACAACATAGTAATAATAGCATCGGCAGCAGCAGCAGCAGCAGAAGCAACAAAATATGATATATGAAATCGTGTTGCATATATGAACCTACCGGTCCATGTATCCTCATATTGCTAACCGTTGTTGTTATTCTTAGAGCGATGCGATTCTGATTCAGATTCAGATTCGTGCAACTGCGCTCAATTTTGTATTCGATTTATTATAATTTTCGATTAACTTCAATAATTTGCAGGAAAATCTGTGCATCCAGTCTCTGCTTACCTTGATCACATAATATGCCTCCCCAGTTTGTGTCACAGACACATTTCCAGGCAACGCCATTGCACGATCCATGCTTGCAGCCAGGATATACGTTGCATTCGTTGCACAGTGGGCCACGCCAACCTGGCCGACATCTAAAAATTAAGTTGAAATAAAAATAAAATTAAAAATATAAAACAACAATAAATTTAATATAAGTGTGAAGAGAGAGGTGTTTCAGTATAATGAATGATTATATGAAGAAGATTTAAAGCTATTGTAAGGAAGTCTATGTCAGTCTATGTTAGTGCGTGCCACTTTATTCTTTTAACCATGAAGGATTGAGGTGAAAGCAAATTGTCTGCTTTCGATAAATAAATATTTTTTTAAGTATGGAGCGCACATAATAGATACTCTAAACTACTCCTTTTCGTATCTAAAACCTTTTCTGTATTAACAAATCATACGAAGATTCAGAATATTAAACAGATGACGACTAAATGCAATCAAGTGTCGGCAAATTATAATGTGAAATGCAGACATTTGGAGTCGTTAATATTCTATTTGAGGAGTGCAATCATACTCACGTAAATAATTCCCTAAATTATTGTTTAAATGGCACATTGTGTCAGCCATTCCTTAAGTAATCCTGAAAATTCATGTGCTAGCAATGCAGCTAGTATTACACACGGATTATTGGCATATCTAAAGTAGTTATGAAAGCTATAAAATGAAGCATTATACCAACATCACAGTGAATCATTAAAGGCATATTTAATAAATTCCAATAATATAAGAAGGAAGATGAACACTTTCATAAGAAGGTATATATATATATAAAGATATGAAGATATAAACTACATATACTATATGTGACCAGCGAGTTCTTTAAATTAACATTGATTATTCATAGATATTTGCTTAATGAAGTTCGATTAAATAGTTGAAATCTTCTAATTGAAATTGTGCCCCCTTCGTCACTGATTGTTTTCATGGATGACTTTTCCTCTGAACTTAACATATCAACCGTTGAAGAGGCCATTTTCTAAGCTCATTAATCGTATGGCAAAGCGAATTTATTGAAAAAGTGTGTTCAAGTCTCGTGACAATTTTGAAGATCTTCAACAAAGTATGTCCCGTTTTCTGTGAGGCTGGGAACTAATTTCCATGAAAATCGTTTACTGGTACAATTTTCAACACTTTTTGTGGCAACAACATTTAATTACAAACACCAAATATTGTCAACGAAACATGCTCAATGCTTATTGCTATGTGCTTTGTGCTCTATCAAACAACATCAATTGAAATGGCAATGGCAACAGCAACATTAGCAATAACAGCAACAATACCAATACAATAACAACAACAGAATTACCAACATCAAAAACATGCCCTAATGACAATGAAAACAAAATTTCTTCGTGATTTCTGAATTTTTCCTAATCAAATTGGTCGCACGTCAACTGCAAATGTGAATTCAAAAAACGAAAAAGTTGCAAAATGTGATTTGGTTTCTGGCGAAATCAAAGACTCTGCGCAATGGCATCCTTTCAAGAAACTCTTAGTTGTTGCATGACCCAGCCTGGAAGCCTGGGTGAGCTTCCTTAGCCATTGAATTTAATTGAAAATTGTGTTGTGACTTGTTAAACCGAAAAACTTTAAAAATGTTTTCGGCTGGCTAACGACAATGTCAAATTGGCAGAAAAATTTCACCTCCCAACTGAAAATGCTTCTAACTAATTTCCCTCTCAAAGCTGGTACCTTCAGTTGATTAGTGAGATTTGTGAGATTTGTAAGTGTGAACTCTTCAGTACAAACTTTAACTACAAACGTCGGTTTCAATGAAAAGTTCACTCAGTTTTTTTCTTATTGAAAATAAGTTTTATTTGCAGAAATAATTATAAAATACCAAAAGGGTTACATCGCTGCAATGCAAACTCCAACTTAAGGCTTCTATGTGACCAAAGCGAAAAGGAAGACCAACTGTAAAAAAATTAAAATATTTTCACAGCTCATAAGTTTGAGTTTGTAATTTGATTTCTCATTAAGTGATAAACAAAACGTAACTAAAAAATCAGTTTCACGCTTAAAATGACTTAAAAGCAAACAGCAAACACAAGTTTCTACTTAAATCTGTGAGCCGCGAAATCTTAACTTTGAGATGCTAACAAACCGAAACGCTGAACAATGGTAACTCGTCAATGGACACAATAGTCGGACGTCAATTCGGACTTGTGATCTCACTGTTCACCGTTCACCGTTCAGTGTTCGTCAACAAGAAAAGAGCAAATACAACTGTGAGGCTTGTTGCTTTGAAGATGCTGTAATTGAGTTTTCGTTCACAGACTCCATCTCAGACTCCGCACCGTGTCAAATACCGTATCAGCTAATTACCGGATTACCAGTGCGAACTCCCCACAAATACACCAAAAACTAACAGAAAAATTCATAATAAAATCAATAACCAAAGAAAACGTTTACTTTACTCATTGGCAGCTTTGTTAAGACAAATATTGATCAAAGTCAAAATTAGAACTAAAGTCTGTACGTACCACTACAGCGATGGCTAATTCCATTTAAACATATTCATAAAAGAAAATTGTCCATGAATACGGTTGAGAAAGCACGAAAAAACTATTATACAGAATAACAAATATAAAACAATAACAAAAGACACAAGCCAAGTCAACGAAGATCAGTTCATATGGTGATCGGGACACTGATACCGTATCAGCGCAGTTGGTTTCACTGCAACTGCAACTGCAACTACAACTCAATTAATAACAAATTCTCAGAACAATAAAAATTCCACACACAAATTATAATGCAGCAAGTATTTGCTCGGAACGCTGAGGATTCGTTTTTCTGCAAACTCATAAGGAGAAATATAACACATAGAGGAATTAGCTTCTAAGCTCCTTGCAGCATTCGTGCCAATTACAGCATTGAGCAACCTTTGCCTTACGACTGATGAAAAGCAGAAAACGACAAATTTTTATCGGTGTTTGGCTTCACATCGAAATTAGCTGAACTCACTGATAAACCCAACCCGGATGAAGTCTCCCTGCGGCACCCAACTGCATTGGCTTACAATTAAAACGTGTTCCAAAGGTGCCAGAAAGCACAAAGGTGTCGTCGTTCCTGTTGCTGATACGAATTACATTACCACTTTGGATAACTCGATGGCACTTAAAGGTGTGATGACGTGAAGCACTTTTAAATTGTCTTGGCTATTAATTTTTAAAAACAAACTCAAATATCAGAAGAGATTAAAATTGAATAATAGCCAAATTAAGTTAATGGGAAAATACCGTTGCATCTGCAACAAGTGCCAACACTACAAATATACTTTTCATTACAAAGCACAGCACAAAGCTTGCGAATTCAAGCTGATAGGCACTAAAAGTTTCGTTGCAGCAAGTGCAGCACGAGAAAAACTGTATCTCATCAGCCACATATGAGACATGTCATTGGAGCTATTGCTGACAGAATATGCCGTGATAGAAAGTGGACAAGAAATCAGTTGGCTCAGTGCAGCGAAGGGGAAATATGAGAGAAGCGAAGCATGATTTATGATTTCATTAGGAAGGAAAAGTTTATCTGAAGACCAATCTAAGCAGCAGTGGTGTGCCGCGGAATACAGAGCCGCTCAGTGGATGTCCAAGCAGTCAACGCAGTCGAGACAATGTGCAAAACCTAAAGTAATTCATTTTTCAGTCTTTCATTTCGTGGCACATAGCCCAGTTGAAGTTGATACAAAGCCTGAAACAATTCGCTGGTATCATTTACAAATTCTGGAGCAAGATCATTGCCATCGCGGCCAAGATCGGTATTCGTTTTGCCTTATTTTTGATTAGAGTCGTTCAAAAAGTCGTGAGGTTGGTGTTTTCTCTAAGACAGCGAGCAGAGTTTCAGGAGATTTTACTTCATAATTGAAATTTAAGTGGGATTGGGTTGGAGGCAGAAGCAACAATTACATATTCAGCTGTACCTAGACTATTGGTTAACCTCACACGCATCTTTGCAATAAAAATTTATGAAACTAAAAAGGGTGATAGATATAAATATTCTCACAGCAACTTTATGATAATTAACAAATCTGCAATTGTATAGATTGATCTGTTCAATTATTGCAAAAAACTTAATCCAAATTAGTCATTTACTTAGTTCTACTTTTTTCGACTGTTTAAGGCCAAATAGAATAGCAGATCCAGTCGGAAAATCGTAAATTTGACCAAATTATGATTTACTTAAACCAAGACCGCAGTAAGTGAGTTGAGTTGGCTTTTATGGAGGAAAACTAGCAAAGAGACGAGATGAAACTTTGAAGCAGGCGTAATACTAAGACATTGCAGCGTCTATCTATTCGAATTCTCAATGGTAGAACTTGTGGTTATCGTTCTAGTTTTTTTTTCAACAAAGGAATTTTATTGTTGTTGTAGTTGCGAACAACATTGAAATCACGTATTTTGTGTTACGCTTATTTCAACAAAAACTGAAACGTTTTTTCGTGCCTGAATCGAGTAGCAAAAATCAAAAAACTGCAAATGCAGAGCAGCAAATGTTGCATCGATACTGAGTCCGTTGGTGGTACGGTGGTACAGCTGAAGACTGAGGTACTGTTTTTGACGATTGAGACTGAGACACCGCATCTGAGACTGATACAAAGTCCGAGGGACATATGAAGGCGGCTATTGTTGTTGCGGTTGTAAATTTTCTGTGCCAATTGTTGTTCGCCGAGATGATGAGTGGTTTGATGCAACTCCAGTACGGCGACTGAACTTAATTTAATGGCCATAAAAACAAAATTAAATGCTTCATTTTTTCCACGTTTTTTCTTCTTTTGCTATTAATAGTAGAAAAGCTCCACCTCCCATAAAAATTATTACGAATTCTGCATTAAGAGGCAACTAAGACTGAAAAAATTGTATTGAAAATGTTTAACAACAAATCAAAATTGAATAGACAAAATTACAACCTAAAACAACATTTAATGAAAATTCCTAATCGTTAAATATGAGAAAATAAGTTAAAAAGTATCTTAAACGAGTTGCGGAAGATGAGGGAAGTGAGGGCAGTGAGGAACTAAAACAGCTCCCGCTGTACATTGTTGCAGTTGTAGGTGCCACTAGGGTTGATGGCTTCGATAGATGCCCTCAGCGACTTTTGTTGCCACTGTACAAACAACGACAATTTGTTGGTTTAAGCAGCATTCGAAACAATGATTGCCGACGAACTGCAAAAACAACAAGACCATCAGGAACAAACAATTGAACTGATCCAAAATTAATGGAAATGTTACCAATGCAATCGCTGCATTGTAGCAATTGTTGTTGCTTCTCAATGCTACTCAATATTGTTGTTGTCGTTTTTATTTGTTTCATATCACAAATCGATTTCGAAAATGGTTTTTTCGACTATGAATCACATTTACTGATATGTGTATTTTATACATATGAAGATCGTGCTGCCATTTTTATGTTGTTTGTATCTGCAACAGTTGTGTTTATGTCAGCGATACAAGTTACAAGATTTCTATTTCTTTAATATTCTGTGGCTATTTCCGATCAATTGGAAGTGATTTCTGCTGACACATTTCGTTGGTGGTGAATTAAAACATTTTATATGAAATTTGAAATTCATTTCAGCAACTTTCAATATATTAAAATCAAATTTATATTTTAGGAGACCAATTGCGCTACAGAAGACATTGTATAGACATTCATTCCATTAAACTTATCTTCCAAATAATGTTACAAGAGTGTAAATACGTAACTAAACTAAATAAACTTTTCTAACTTTGCTAAATAATTACTTAAACTTAGGTTTACTTACTCGCATTCACCAGGTCGATCGCATTTCCCATGTGTCGGGTCACAGCCTGGTTTGCAAATTGCCTCTTCACAGTTAACACCCTGCCAGCCTTGCAGACAGAGCTTCTGACCCTCCGAACCGCAAGTGTAATGGCCGAATTGGTCATCGCGCGCTCGGCAGAACGTTGTGCATGTTGTGTTGTAATAAGTAACGGCGCATTGAACTCTGACCCGATATGTAATACGGGCATTGGTACCGATGTGATCCAGAGTCTTCCATTCGGGCGATGGTAGTATTACACCTGAATATGATGCCTCTTCAATTAACCTCTCTGAATCTGTTTGCGTCGATTTTATGTAGTTGCCAATAGAGATTGTCATGACGACAGCGTTGACGATGATGATGACGATGACGATGTCGACATTGTTGATGTTTTGTGTAACAACGATCACGGTGGCATTTGTTGTAAGAAAATGTTGGAGTTGTTGTTCGAATTGTTGTAGTTAAGATATTGTTCAGAAAAATAACATCGTTGGCGTTCATGTTGTTAACAAGTTTAGTTACACAAAGTAGTCAAATGGGTTGGAAGCAGTTGAAAAAGTCCACAACCAAGCAAACGAAATCAAATAAAACAGAAAAATATAAAAAAATATGTTAAGTTTATTTTTATTTAAATTATTCTAAGCTGAAATGTCACCAACTACGAGTTGGTTTAATTAAAGACAGTAGCTAATGTAGCCACCGTTTTGGGTCAGCAATTCAGGTTCACATTTGTTACTGTCTCTGCTCGTTTCAAATCGAATTACCTGGATAAGACTTGTTGTACATATCCAACGCCTGCAGTATCAGCGTAAATGACTTCTGAAATTAAAAAAAAGAAAAAACTCATTAGAAAATGTAAAAAATCTCATTTAACTGCAAATAGCAAACGTATTTGTGTCGCTGTCATGTACAGTGGACTTCTGTTTATAATGAAATAACTGAAAATAAAGATCCTGAAAAGGGTTCAGAGAGCATTTGTGCGATTTGATATTTGCAAAGAAGAAAACATTTTTTATTTTGACAAATTTCTGCAAAACCATTTTACAAATTTTATTGCACAAAACTCATTTGAAGTTGCGGGAAATACAAAGCCAATTGTCACAGTCCGTTTACACCCAATCAAGTCGCGAAGTTCTGTTTATCTGTGCACTCTAATGAATCTCAAAGATCTCAATCTTGCACAATAAAGATTAAAGTAATCGAAGCGACTGTTGTAATAAAAACTAACGTCAACTCTATTTAAATGTCAAGTGATTTTTAAGCAACTTCACAGCGCCTTTCCAAAAGGGAAATTTTGCAATTAAAATATTCGCTACTAATTTCTAATCTAATCCGAACAACCGTAACTGTGAATCCAAATTGCAATAGCCACGTCTGTTCCTTGTTTAATGGGTCTGGATGTTTAATTTATGGCAGTTCATGGTGTGGAAACATGCATAAGCAACGCTTCAAGAAACTCAAATATATTTATGCGATCAGTTTTATCGCAACGATAACAAACTAACAAACCAACAAACCAACAAGCAACAACCAACAGTCAGCAGACAGCAGCAACATGTTGCCGATCGCGTTGATCATAATGATTTTGTTGTTGGGCGATGTTTTTCTTCTCATTTCAAGTAACTTTCAGTACATCTACAATATCAACTACTACAACTACTACAACTACTACAACAACATCAGCGGTAACAATAATGTAAATTGCTATCATACGTAATGACTTACAGAGCCAAGAACTGAAAAAGCATAAAAATTCGGCTTACTGCACACGAAGATTGTGCACCACGAAAGCAATTAAGTTCGAATGTTGCTGCGCGGCTGGAAGTCAGGAAATTCTTATTGAAGACAATCTTAAGTCTTCGGCAATGTCCAATGTCTACTAAATCAGGTTACGCAGTGCTCCAACGTGAGATTACCACTGAAACGGTTGGAAACGAATAGGATTTACAGAATAATGTATTGGACAAGTGCAACGAGTACATAAAGAATTCTTAAGGAACTTTTATGAGGCTGAACTCAGTTATGAATGCTCGGTTATGTTATGGAAGAGGCAAACAAGAGGGAGGGGGGAGGAGGGAGGACGGGGATGCAATTGAAGAAGTCCGCACTGATCGCTTGTTTATGGTAGTGATCACATTACTTAAGCTGATTTTTCTTTTTGCCAATTTGTACATTTTACGATTTTCAATTTAATTTTGTACACAAATACACGCGTTGACATGAACAGCGGGATTCCAATATCATTTCCCTCACTCTCGCGGTACTTAAATATTCAAAATTATGTAGCCAAGCGGATTGCATCAATCGGCAATTAAATTAGTTACGATTATGATCATGCCACGCTAAGCACTTTAGTTGTAATTTTTTTTTATTTATTTTTTTAAAAAAAAGGTCTTATTTTGCATATTCGAAAGCGTCATAAATCAAGTACACATTCGTGCGTCTCTCCATCTTCCGTTCAATTCGTATCTGTATCTCTATCTGTCTATCTATCTGTATCCGTATCTGGAACTGCGTCTTTTTGTGCTGTATCACATTCAAATGTACCTAAGACTTCTAAGACTTCGTATGAGTGCCTTTGTCAATTTGCCTGTTTAGGTCATTTGGTCAATTGAAGTTGTTGAATTCGTTGTGTCTCATTGAAAATCAAATTTGTCTTGCTTTGCTCCGATTTTTGTAAATTTTTTGCGCTATTTTTGCTCGCTGCTTGAAAAATTGTACAGCATCTCAATTTTAAAGATTGTTTGTTGACATTTTTGACTGCAATAATATTATTTAACCTGAAGTACTAAAATTTTTTAATTTTCGTGTCGTGCACTGATCTTACTAAATTCTACATAAGTATGTAAAACGATCTTTTTGTTGATTTTATGACTATTTTTATAGTATCTTATGCGAGTGTTATTGCTGTCAGAGGTCCAGTGAATGTCATTTTCTGAAATTAATGATTCAATTACAAAACGTCAAGCGAATATAAACAGTCCACCTTAGAGTAGCAATAAAAATTTTATGATGAATGATATATAGAAGTATTTGAGCAATAAAATGAGCAGTACTTTTTAAGGCTTTCGGTGTGATGCTAAATACGAATATATATTAAAATACTTTAGATGAATCATGAAAAAAAATTAGTATTAATTAAGTGTTTTCGTATTCTTCTGCATTATTAACATATAGAAAATTCAACACAAAGAAAATGAATTTTCGTTGAGTTATTTACATATAATCCCACCCAAATAAATTTATGAAATAAGTCTATTATAATTGTATTAATAACAGCACAAGATTAATAGCCAATATCCCACCAAATCTGTTCTTTATATTACTGCTTTGTTCGAAAAATTTAATAAGGACCTATAGTGTTCAACATTTTGAATAGAACCATTTCCCTTGTTATATTCCGAATATTTAATAGGGAATATAGAAATTCTCTCATTGTGAATCACAATCGAATAATATGTTAATATTCGACTTTCCTTATAATTAACTTATACTATTAATTTTTGGATAAACTTGGAGATCCAAATATTCAAACTCTTCTTTTTCATAACCGAATTTGCGACAATCCAAAAAAAAAAATAATAATAGACTAAAATGTTGAAAGATACATCCATATAGAATGAATCAAACTTACATCAGAGTGCCAACTGGTAAAAGAAAAAAGGAGGCACTAAAAAGATAGTTAGGTACAGCATATTTAAATAGAGTAAAGAGGCAAAGATAGAAAGCATTGGACTGTCGGACTGCCATGCTAAGAAAGAAAAAGAAAATATTTCTATGTCTTGACCTTAGTCGCTGACCGATAGCTAAAGCCTTTTTCTAAATAATTTCTATAAAATGGTTTTAGCGGATTAAAATCTCACACTCAGTCGTTTTTGTGTTTTATATTTCGTTTATAAAAATTATGATGTTATGGTTTTGCCATCAAACATAGACCAATACAAATTAAAACAAAAGAATTTATAAATCAATTTAAGTCACTGCACCAAATTTAATGGATTTCGTTTTGTTTCTATGCTTTTTATTTGATTATAAATGAATCTTTTATGAAATCAATGTCTTCGCTAATTAAAAACTTATTTATCTCGTTTGCGGATGTTTTCTTAACCAGTTTTGATATGGTTTTGTTTATTTACTTAGTTAATTGCCAAAATTAAAGCGTTAATTTTACAGCTGTGGATGGTCGTGAGATTTAATCTATTATGCAGATTCTCCATTTGTGTGAAAATCCTCATCAGTTCAAATATTGTCAACTTTACTACGAGAACTTCGCTAAACACACTCGATTAGGTGTGAATTAATTACTTTTTTTTTAAATAGAATAAAAATTCAGAATACATTTAAAACCTTAATGAGCGACTTAAGTGACATCTTCCACCTTCACCCTGGCTATCAAACTATATTATATTCCACATCATTCCAATCGGCATTGTCGATGATAATGCTGATGATCTGACAAACCACGGCAATCAAATTAATTTATTAATCCATTTTATTTTATTATTTAAATTTTGCTTGTTTTAGTTTTTTGTTGTCAAATAAATTTTAGTTGATTTCAAAATTAGTGGCTAATTGTGCGAATATTTCACTTTAAGTCGCCTCCCTCGCCAACCCTCTGTAACGCCAACGTCAACGTTGTTGAATGCGGTTTATTGTCTTATTAATAACAATATACCCGTGAAACGTTTTGTGGATATGCAAATATAATTTGTTCCTAATTTCTATTATTATATAGTTAAACGAAATGTTCGAAAAGATTTAGTGAACTCGATTTGCATAAAACATTTTATTGTTAATTTAATAAAATGATTTAGAAATTAAAAAAGCAATCAAAACAATTTATTGTTTTAATAAAATTTACGATCATCGCTTTTTTGTTGACAGCAGTACAAGAACCAAAATTTAACTTAATAATTCGGTTCGGAGTTTGGATTTTTAGAAATTTAAGATTTTTTGGAAATATCGATTAACAAAATATAATAGTTAAAAATTTTAAGACATATAATTAATATTTATATTTTAATTATTTTATATTACAAACAGATTTAAAACAATTTACAATTCGAAGACTTCGCCGTTGACTTATTGGTCGATCATAAGTTATGAAACTGATGTTGTAGTTCTAAAACTTTAAGGTCTACGGGGGAATATATTGCATAATTTGGTCATAATTAATAGTTTTAGTTGTACTTTTTATTATAATGCAAAATATATTACATTTTTCATATAAATCTTCGTTAATCCCTTCGGATAACATTAAGAAACCATTTACTTTCTTAATGGTTCACCGTTTTTAAACAATAAATGGAAGACGGAAGATATGTTAAAATAAAAATACTTTTTTCAGTTGAATAAGTTTTGACAGATATGCTCGAAAAAATTTCAGGAAATCCTAAAAGAGACTTCTGTAGGAACTGTCAGGATGACACCTTTCAGTAGTATATTTTATCATTGTCCAACAGTTTCCAGATAAAAACTGTTGGATCTCTTTAAGAGATTTTTATAATGAGGAATTAGCGGAGCTACTCCTATTTGACTTATTAAATCTTAAGTCTTTTCTCAACATTAGCAACAAATAGTTTAAAAGTAGCTGTTAAGAAAGTAAGATGAATAAGGTATATGAGTTTCAATATTTTCTATGTTCGAGGCTGTCATAATATTAAAATTATGGCAGCCTGGAACAAAATAAATTTTATTTTATTTATCAAAATATATTAATTTCATTATAACACATTAATTATTATATTAATATTTATAGAATTTTATAAATTTTAAAGAAATAAAAATAAAAAAAAATATATATTATTAGATAAATGAAA